GACCCGGTCCGCCCCGGAGCTTCCCGAGCCAAGATTCCGGGATCACCGGTGTTGGTCTTTAACGCCACGTCCACGTAACACACATGGAAACCCACCCCCTTCGGGCTTCCATGAATTCAGCTGGCAAAATTACGAGCCGCCCTCCGGCGTGTCCGAATTAATCTCTAGCTTATGGAAATGGGGAACGTTCGATGGTTCAATACAATCCCTAATTATCTGGAAATAAGGGGGATACAATACAAAAATCAAATATCCTCCGTGCATAAACAATACATATGTTAATAACCATATAAAGGGGATGACGAACTTAATACTGTAACATCTGCCATCGATCGTAGTTCACTCTCGTGCAAATTTCGATTTCCGAAAATCGTTTAAACATGAAATTTCATACACCCGAGGATTTCAATTTCATCGAACCAGCAAACAGAAATTTATTATTTAATTAGTTTTACTATCTCACTGTACCGTTAACTCCGAATACATCGACGAATTCACTGAATTTCAACGGATAATTACAAAAGTTCAAAACCCCATCGGTCAAATGCAATAAACGGCAAAATAAAGAAATAATCCGGCTCCATTAAACAAATTTCCCAGTCTTCCAATTGCATTTTCATCGTCAATTAAAAACTCTTTGAGGATAACGAACGAACCGTGACACGGTTTCGTTTAAACAACGTGTCGCTGCAGTGCGCGCTCGCACGCGCGGTTCGGCCGGGTACATTGCACCAAATGAAATATCGGTAGCGAGTACTAGGAAAACATAAGGGGAAAAAAGGAGGATTTTGTAATGTATGTCGCTGGGAACGATAAATCTCGATGCGTCACTGGCAGAACCGTGTGACTGACCACGAACGGCTTATTTCGGTCGCGGTATCTTCGCGCAGTACGCGTGCCGCTGGTATATTTTCACAGTCGGTTGGAAATAGTCGGCCACTGGTCTAATATTATAATAGCGATGACTGCCACCGCGTGAAGGCGAGCGAGCGAGCGGGCACAGTCGAGTCGCGGGCGAAACGGCTGCCAGTTTCGAGCGTGTGACGCTCAGCGGGAACGAGAACGCGACCGGATAACGTTACTTCTTGCCCGTCGTCGCAGGACTGTCGCAGTTTCGCGATTTCCAGCCATCGAGGAAGGCTGACTCTCTTCCGCGTCCGAGTTCTCGGTTTCCCGCTCCTTCCTTCGAGACAGTTTCAGTTGCAATCACCTGTGACCAGCCGGGGATCGTCACGTGCCTTTAATCGTCGATGACTATCGGCGCATCGAGAACTCGTATCGTTATCGATATCGATAGCAGTCGGTTTCCTTTTCGATCCAAGAATTGATTAATCTCTTGATTACCCCTTGCGGTACAAGGTAAAACGATAACTCAGTTTACAAATCGAAGATTCGATCTATTCTCGCTTGTTTTGGGTGTCCTGGCTTTGTTCGTCGTTATTTTACTTGAATTCTTCGACAGTGGTTCTGGTATATCGTTCTAGAACTTCCATCGATATTATTTAGTTGTTCAGTAATTGTTAACGTACTCTAATGTGTCTCTTAATTGAACTCTTAATCGAGAAATATATAAATCAAGCACGTTGCGATGAAAGTAATATTGTCAAGTGTTAAAGAGCGAGCGTACAGATCCAGAGGGAGAAAGGGAAAGCGGAGAAATAATGTGGACCGCAAATGGGAAATTAACGTCATGAAATGAGATTGATTAATTCTCATGTTCGGGTGATCATTAAATGTTGGGATTTTTCTTATCTACGAGCAACCCATCCGTTTCTTCGCCCGCGGTCGAGTAGATTTATGGAAACGTCGCCGACATATTAATCTTCGCTCCGAACGTGAATTTTCCGTCGCGTTACGCAACGCTCCGATACTGATTATACACTTGATAATACGTTCCCGGTCCGTGTGATAAATAATCCGCATGATTTACGTATCGTTTTCTCGCGGGCAGAAAAAGCCGCGGCGCGATGTAAATTTTCCCGGGGTACGACGAGCGTTGCGTGTAACCGGGGCGTGGAATAATTCCGCGGCGAGCACAATTCTCTTTTTCCTCCCCTTTAATTTCTGTGTTCGTTATAAAATCGAGGATGCGTTACAGAAATAATGACACCCGAACGCCAATAAACGCGGTCCCGACATTCGACGGGCGCAGTCACGTGTGAACCCAGTGAGCGTGAATGAAAGTTGAACTCGTACGAGAGAGTCGCGCGGCTCTGTCGGCCGGCGCCGCCATTAATGTCGTTATCGGCGTTTTAAAATGTTAACACCGTCGGAACGGCACGCACGATGACAGCCAGCATGCTGAACGGGCCGCATAAAATGGTAAATAGTCGTTTCATATTATTCACTTCGACTTGACCATCGATCTTTTAACACGTTTACGCGGTTTTCACGGTTGCCCTCGTTTCTATCATCCCACCGTCAAAACTTATACATAAAAATACGTTAAACCCTCAGCGACTGAACACGAGAAAACAAATTTCATGTTCACATTAACACTAGATTTATGGAACGAACCAACTTGACTCGTATTGAATTTCATAAGCGTTATTTAGTAAATGTTTGTATCGATTTTCATCAACGCAGTTATGCAAATATATACCCTAATTGTCTACTCTTAAACCTCTAATTTCTAAAATCTAAATGAACGGATAACAATTTTTCTAAGAACAATAGAACAAACTGTACGGTAAATGTCAGTAGATCTGGTGTTAAATAGATGTTACCCAATATTTGTTGCGTATATCATTCTCTCGAATTTACGCTAAGCTCGTAACTCCTACAGTTAGGCAAATAGCAGAACAACCCTACACCTTTGACGTACAAACAATTCGCTCGTCGCGTATTACATACCAATTGCAATACGTCATTTCGCGCATCGTTTTTTTATTTCGTGGTCGAAAATCGAGACCGGTTTTCCGAGAGTAAATAGGCTGATTAATTAACGGTTCCATTCACCGGGATGGCGGCGGGCAGTCGCTAAGCGTCGATTAACCCAGACCGGTAGTTGTCCGCCATAATTGCGCCTGTAATGTCAACGTTACACCTACGACGAGAGCTGTTGCCGGAGTAACCGGGGCTACCTCCGGCAACCGCCCTTACAGCGTTCCATCTGCGCCGTTCCGCTCCATAGAATGGTAATTCGGGACGATTAATTCGCGATTCCGCAGGCAATATGTGCTGATGCGACCGCGTGCATCAAATCTGTCGAGGAGACCCCCGTGATTGCGCGGGAGCGGGTCATCGCGATACCGTGCGGCACGCGAGACGCGTTTCGGAATGCGAGCCGCGTTTCAACCCCACAGCGTCACCGTCGGCGACCCCCGACCCCTACTCCGTCGCCTTGTAGTCGATATCCGGATTCAATATTCGGGGTCGCTCACTCGATGTAACCTGGAACTCTGAATCATTCACCGTTCCTTCGAATTAATTGTGTTTGAACATATGTTCCCCGAGTCTGCGGGAAGTTCTCTTTGTTGGCACACGTGGCTTCAGGGGTTTTTATGTATTACGCGGTGGCTACCATGTGTCGAATCGTTGAAGGGAACCGTTACAGGTTTGTGTAGATTTTTGCTGGTCAAGCTGTTCCATCACTATTTTCTGTTCTCAATGTTATTCATAGGGGTCTTGAAAATCATGAAAAATAGTTGATCCTTTGGACTGTCTTTAGTAGTTCCTTATAATCGAGAAAATAATATTTAACTTGAATTGTTTACGGTTGGCAGAGACAAGTCTCGTTTACAGTAATCAATGAATCACGCCCGGTTCATGGACTACTGAATCACAATTGACCTGATCTACATAAGAGTTAGGGGATACTGAGAAGATTAATCACGAACCACGTCCGTGTTAGATAAGAGATTAATAATGCTTATTGTTCGCTAAATCTGACGTCGTTGTAAATTTCTTTGGAAGATGTATGGGCGAAGAAGTGGCGAAGTCTCGTTTCATTGTTGCCGGGATCAATGGGATTTCCTTTGTGACGGCAGCACGTTCGGGCTCGACGTATTGTAACGTCATTATACGATATCACCATTCCTGTGTTAATGACCATAACCCGCCGCCATCGATCCAAGCTTCGCCACGACCTAATCTACTCCTCTGCGGGTCTCAAAATCAATTAACCAGTTAACTCCTTCGCTCTGTGGGGCGCTTAGTCCCTCATGTAATTAGGAACTGACCCGTACCGGATTAGCAGTGTGATCTGTGCTTTCTGTTGCGCCACGCGTTACGTTCTTACCAACAGCTTTCGAATTCCTTTCGTACCGTCACCCCTTCGTTCTCTGTTCATTTTATTCTGTAATAATTTCAAACGATATCCAGCTACGAATCCAGCGGTAGCTACGATTTAGTGTTCAGAGTTTATCCTAGGGCTCATTTCAACTTCGGGAAATCCTGTAATCTTGATGGAGGAGTAATACCCTGACACTCGTAAACTACTTGCCCAGGTAGATTTAGGGTTACGTATACACCGTCAAGTGTTTGGGTAGGTATCAATCCCTTTCACTCTCATTCCGACGATGTATCGTCCAATTATCTTCGCGAATATAGTCGGTTTGGAGTTTGCCCTTGAATTGCGGCGCATAGGATTAGTATTCGTTAGGCTGTCCTTCTGTTTAATAGTCTATTTATCAGTAGACTATGGATCTTCGTGTATTTTTGGGAAATTTAGAAACTCAACATTCCACGGATTGCGCGCGGTATAAAGAAATGTATCAAATATTCAACGTATCGCGATTTTTATAATCTCTTAGGGAAAACCATTCTTTATCGTGTAATTTCGTTCTGAAAAATTTAAATTTGTGTGAATATTCACAGTCTGCTTATCAGTGTAATTATTTCACAATATTTTAAACATCAACGCTTGAGTTAGAATTTCGCGACGAATCTTGCAATAGCAATCTTAACTGACAATTTCGTTAGAAAAACAAATTTTTTCATTCGTGATTTGATTATTTAACGAACAGGGTGTTTATCGAGGTAATAATTTTTATTTTCAGGTCAATGGAGACGATGATTGGGAGTACGAGGAGATTGTCCTCGAGAGGGGTGGTGCCGGCCTCGGGTTCAGTATCGCCGGTGGCACGGACAATCCCCATTTTGGCAACGACACCGCCATTTACATCACGAAACTTATACCCGGCGGCGCCGCTTCTGCGGACGGCCGCCTGCGTGTCAACGATACGATACTACAGGTGAACGACGTGTCCGTTGTCGACGTACCACACGCGGCAGCCGTCGACGCGCTTAAGCGTGCAGGGAACACCGTTAAACTAGTAAGTCTATTTCAATTCATTTCGTCGCTGCAAAATGTCATTAGGATCGTTTCTTACGTTAATCCTTTAACCTTTAAAAAGCTCAATGACTTATTTAAACAAAGAAACATCTTCGCTAAACCTAAAATAATCCTTCAACCCCTATGAAAATATATAAATGAAGTTACTTGGTAAGAAGCAGACGCTTTCATCGAAGATATCAAGTTATCCGATAAATCAACCGAACGATTGATACAAATCGAGTTAGAAACGGTTGCCGTCGACTTCGACCCCGTTCCCCGACATCTTTTAAAATCAGTAAGCGATGTCGCTAAACCGAGCAACCTCCTCTCGGGAAATTAGATTAATCCACATCCCGGAAACAAACTACTCTTCGGAAACTACCCGAAACCCTAACGACTTACGACCGACGCGGCTTGAGTGATCGTCTCGCTGGGATTTCTCCGGCGACGTCAGAGCCTGCATTATAGTTAATGAGTCTGAGAGTTGTCATATCTCTGTATCTGACGTCATAACCGTTCCGGACAGCTTTTAAAGTGAAATTGGCGTTTCTCCCCCTGTTTTTCTCTTTCTAAAAATGTAATTCACCGGAATTGAATGAATTTTCCGGAATATTTAAACCGCGTTTTTCATGCAATGAGACAGGCTCAGGTGGTAAGGATATATCCTTTAGACATCCAATTATTATCCGGCAGCTCGACGCAAGATAATCGTGTACGACGACAATGCTGGTTGTATATCTTGCGGGAAACCGGGACTCCCAGTTTCCTCCGTGAAATAATGCCGGTCATTCGCGTTTCTTTAGCTGCCACGATATCTCATCGCCTAAATCTTGATGTTGGGAATTAAAGCGATATTTCAGGTGGTCATTGTTGCCCCTGGTTTATACACTAAACTTTTATTGTGTAAATATATTGCAGCGAGGTTTGATGTTTTTGTTCAGTTTACGGGCGGAATATAGATACAGATGCATTAGGTGTTTAGTCCTCGTGTTCCGTGCACGTAGCACTTACTACCTCCTTAATATTTAACTTAATGTTTAATAAGAATATTAATGAACTAATAAGTGTACTTACATCGAGAATTAAGTCAAAGATCTTACAACTTGCAGAACTGATAGTATTTAACAAAAACAGTAGAAAGTGCTTGATTCAGGATGTAATAAAAGCTACAGTAGCACGTCAAATGTATGTACTCAAGAACCGGGAACATGAAAAAAAGACACGCGAGGCCAGTGTGAAATGAGACCCGAAAAAATTTTTTAGTGACTTTCATCGCGTCAGCGCGTGGCGGTCGTTGCAAACTGAAAATATTGCGTTCCTCGGGTCCGCGAGATTTTTGAAACTCTCGGACGTGCTCGCGTCAGCGTTATTAACTTTCCTCGAGTGCCTAGGAAACATGGGCAGGATAAGCGTAAAGAATTTACTACCTAGATATTATTATTTTCTTTTGATGCCGGCCTCGTTGTGATATTTATCAATCGTGAAACCTTAAATATTTCAATAACTGCTTAAAAGGAAAATAGTGAAGAAGATTGTTTCTATTTGTTACGAATTCATTTAGCTTTACTGAATAGTACACTACCTCCTTAATACTTGACCTTTAACTACTTAAACTTGAAATAAAAATTGAATATATATATTTAAAACATTGTTTCATGGAAGATTATCTAAGAATGTTTCTCCATCAATTTTCAGTACGTACGACGACGAAGGCACACGCAGCTGATCGAAATCGAACTAATTAAGGGTAACAAGGGCCTCGGTTTCAGTATCGCCGGTGGTATTGGCAATCAGCATATACCCGGTGACAATGGAATCTACGTGACGAAAATTATGGAAGGCGGAGCGGCTCAAGTGGACGGTCGCCTTGTCGTTGGAGACAAATTGGTGGCCGTCAGGAATGCTCTGGTGAGTTATGGGACCACTATCTCCTTTTCGATTTCATTTAATTGCCCTGAAACCCGTTGCTCCGTATTTGATCATCGAATTATCGTTGAGATGATTTATCGACCAATTCCGACTTTTACATGCCGTTCTCTTAAACTCTGTGATTGCCGAATGAAAATCAGAAAGTAATTTATTACTTGTGTTTACAATGTCGTGATAATTTCACTAAAATGTAAAACAAGTTTCTTTGATGAGAACAATGAGGGTTCCTGAAAACGATGCATTATTTATTACTGCACACATCTTGAAAGTCGAACTGCAGATGTACATGAAAAATAGCGATTCAGTTGGTCCCTCTTACAATTTTCACGTGACTGATGATTCTGAAGCACCCTCGCGCAGAGTAAGAAAGGAGCCTGCTCTTGATTAGATGATTTCTCATGCAGACAAAGTGTGCTCGCTCCGGACAAGCAAGAGGATCATTTATCATTTAGAGAAAAAGGTAGCACACGTGTACTCGCAATTGGGTTTGGAACTATCCTGTCCCGGAACAGAGCCTATAGGCCCTGCAAATAAAAATTCCACCGTGTTCGGATAAAACAAAGAATGCTAGCTCGTCATTCGAGGAATCTTGAAATTTACGCGTGTAACTTTTGAAACGCTTCAACTGTCCACAAGTAAAACAAAATATTTTGTCAAACATTAAATGGTCTTTCATATCATACAACCTAAAAATTTACTGAATTTACTGAAATTACTGAATTTCTCGCAGCTTTAATATTTTACAATTTGAAAAGACAGTTAGAAATCATTGAATTCCTCGTAAGTTTCGTAGCTTGCGATTTAAAAGGATCAATTAGAGATCACTGGATTTCTCGCAGCTTTCGTGTCCTGCAATTTAACAAGCTGCCAGAAATTCGGCGATTTTCAACGTTCGGAAACTCGTTTCGAAAAATTCTCCAGCGAACCGGAGACATACGAGCACAGGCAAGGGCGACGCGAAAAATAGATCAGAGTGGCTTTTGATGGCGACGAGTAATTGATAGCTCTTCGTCAGCGACGGAAGCCTCGTTGCTGTGGTTGCAGGTGCGAGCCTCGTCGTTTCGCAGCTTCCCGCGATTTTTCGCTTCGACGGCCTCTCTTTTCTTCTCCCGTCGTCCTCCCTCGAGGCTCCGCACCGAAAAAGCCACGATTAAAGCGGCCGCATAGGTCCGGTTGATTTATAACCACGCCGCGCGCAATTTGAAACGCGCGAAAATCATTACAGGGACATTTCAGCGTTACTGCGAAACGATGACTTCAAAGATTTCAGTTTTTCGCTCTCAGTCGTTCTTTTTTTCGCCGCGTTTTCGGAACTTGTTCGCGAATAAATTCTGCGAAACGAGATCAAATTAGATTCCATCGTTGACACCGTTATAAATGCGTTCACCTTCCAACTAATTCGCAGAATGAAAAAGCGAACTTTCGTCTGTGCTCAGATACACGTGAAACTGAACGTCCCGTTCACGTGAACGTTAATGATAGATCGTATAATGCAAAATTGATTCTACCCGATATCAATCATTTTCACCTGAGATATAAATTTCAGCCATTGTAATCGATAGTCTGTCCATTAAAAAGTGGACGTAACGCGTAATAAATAGGTTCACGCCGGGACGCTCCGAAGTATCGAAGTTGTATCGACGTTTTCGCGGGGAGCGATATATTTAAAAGTTTCCGAGACGCTGTAGGAGGCAGATCCGGCGAGTCGATTTAAGTTTCCGTGCGATTGCGTGTCTGCATATACTTGGGAACAACGAACGGTGCAGGAAGTTCGTCAGTTGTTTATGACGCTGGCCGGGAACTTCGTCGATGTTCACTTTTTTCCCGCGTGTCAGCCACCCCCGGATAATTACCATAGACGGAACTGGAGCCTTCATTTTTTTCGGCCGAGCTTCGTTTTTCCTGCGTGACCCGTGAACCGTCGAGCGTGCAACAACGAACCGAAAAAATTAAAAACACGCAGACGATAGAAGTGAAACACCGGACGAAGCGACATTCCCGTTGTTTGCGTAACTGCTCGGATATTTATCCTCGGGTCTATTGCGCGCGCCAGAACCAATTGTCAATTACAATTTCGTTTCTCCTTGTGATCTTTATCGCTTCTCCAGTCATTTTTCCCAGTGTCTCAGCTTGGAAAAGTTCATGTAACTATTTGAAACGGCGGCTGAACACGATCTCCCTTACAAAACATTTCGGTTTATTGAACCTGTGTATTCAGTCCGATAACAATAATTTACGTAACAACATTCACGTGTACTTGCAACAATTCTCGATTGTATAAAACAGGAAAGGAGTAGCGCGTAAAGAAAGGGAAGTTACGTAAACGTAAAGAAATACACAAACACGAGACGATGATTAAGTTAACGTAAGAAAGAAAAGGAATGAGCGTCGAAATGAAAAACGCGGAACAGGAAGAATAATTTTAGTGGAAATGTACATATATTAAAGAATTCTATGGAGATGTTCGTTTTATAAATGTAAATTTTAACTGCTTCGGAATACTCGTGTCGCCTGTATTTTATGGGAATGGCTCTCAGAGAAGAATGTGACGATATGATGAACGATTGCAGTAAATCCGTGTCTCTTTATGCACCAATTCTCAACGCAATTTGTGCAAAAAGGAATGCGTTTTCGATGATTTATCGAAGAGAAACGAGACTTTTTGCGGAACAACTTAATGACATCGCTGATATTGATTGCGGGGGAAGGATTTAGCTGTTTCATTTTCGTGTGAAAAACGCAGCGTGCACTGAAAGAGAGATGCGTCATCTTGACGCTTGAATATAGATATTTACGGTAACACGACCGACAGACAAAGACGAAGCAGGCAACTCTTGTGATATTTGTTCTATAATCCATCTCGAAGTGTTCTATAAGGAGCGCAAGGAAGATGATTGATAGGGGAAATTGAACGGGAGAAATCAATTATCGCGGCTCGCTAAATCTCGATCGACGAGCGTGCCGCGGCGGCGTTGGTTCACCTTTTCCCGAGTCTATATCGTTCTTATCCCTTTCCTACAGCTTTCCCGATGAAAAATGGGAAGTAGAGGCGCGGTAGAAAGGAATACGTTAGAAAATTAAGACGAATGAACGACGTTAATGAACAAAGAGAAATATTTCATGCGATAAAACGATCACCGAAGTCCATGTTTCGTTTTAAATACAGATATAATGTACATTTTCTAATTAAACGTGCCTTTCTATTCAAATTTATTATTAGTACATCAATTCCACAGATTTTCAGAATATTAACCTTCATCTGTACATTTACGAGGCAAATACTCATGGATCTAGTTTTTTGCTCATACAACTCAAACGTCAGAAAATAAAATGATTTTCGAAGTGTCATAACATCTCAAGTATTCCTCTGAAACACGCGCAATTGTAATAGTTATTTAATGATTCTTTACCTATTCCCTAACACATACACTCGAGGGATTATTCGAGCTTGACGATGTTAACGAATCTAGAATTACGTTCAGCAACGTTCAGCTCGTTATTGTGCGAGTCTGTTTTGACAAACAGTCGAATGTAAGATAAAAAGAGGGTCCCTTTCATTCTAGCAGGGCGACAAGAACCTTGAAAATGTGACGCATGAGGAAGCAGTGGCGACTCTGAAGGCGACCCAGGATCGCGTGGTTCTTCTGGTGGCGAAACCGGAAACCGGAATCGTGCCCCCGCCACCACCCCCGATGGCCTCGGACAATTCGCTCTCGCCGCAACCACGTAAGCTGCCATTGCCCGGTTTTCTATTCACGTATATTATTCACGTTCACGTAGATACGCGTCCGCGGTACCTCAGCGGACCTCGTTCCAGGACTTTTTCGGGATCTTTTCTTCTCAAATTTTCATGACGCTGCCTTCCGGAACGATAAATATTTCACGCACCGCGAAAAAGTGCCGGCGTCACTTTTGTTCATGTCACCGGACACGGACCCGGCCGCGGAGGAAATTCTTTCTCTGGCCGCTTTGTAACGGGAACCGTCTCGCGCCTGGAAATTCCACCGTTTCGCCGTTTAGCGGCTCCCGTCGCCGCTGGAAATTAAACACGACCCCGCGGAAAATTGTCGCTAACACGTACGCTTTAACGTCCGGCGAATTAAATTCGTCCCGGGCATTTATATTTCTTCGGCGTTCATCGTGCTCAGACGGAATTTTTTCGTTCCAATTGTACGTCCTTTGCACTCACGCGAAATTTCAAATAACGATCGCGACTCTTCTTTGGACCACCCGCCCGTATTTCGAGTGAAATCGCAGCTTAATCTCTGACAATGAATTAACGGGTATCGCTACGAATAGTCCACAGCGGTCTCGAATTAAGCGTTTGAACCTTTTAACCCTCAGCACTCCAGCCTATTTTTGTAACCTACCAGTAACTCCAAGCCATTTTCATAGTACCACTAGTGAAAGTCTCAAAATGTTGTATTCTAACGTTTCTTAGATTTCTTAGTTTCCTTCTTAAGACAACATTTATGCTTGTGGCGAATGCAATAATCTTTGAGTAGTTTTTCCAACTTCGGTTACTATAATATTCGATTCTGTAAATAGTGCTGTAGAGTGGAGTCTATAGAGTGCAAAGGGTTAATTTGTAACGATTCTGTTTTAGTTTTTACCTTTACGGTTACTTGTTACCGAGGTATGCTTAAAATTTTCGACGACCGATTACTATTACTCAATTGTCGCTCGGAAGCGAATAAACATTTGATGTATGGCGTGATTCTTCTAAAATTCGAACGACCAGTGATTCTTTCAGTTCCTGCGTCTCCCGCGGCGGATATAAACACAGGATTCTCATGGCCGACGGTGGAAATGAATTTTTGATCTCCGTGACTTCTCCGCGGGTCTCCGGTTTCCTGCTTGGCCCGACGATCGGGCGTAACTTATTCATCGCGGTCATAAAGTCGTGCTCGTAAACTCCTTCCCGCTCCGCGAAGGCTGTGCCGCGCCGGGTCATTTCGCGACCAGACGGTCGCCGTCGACGCGAAACGTTCGAGAACCGCGAAAACCGCCGGGCTTAACCCCGTCACATTCGAATTACCTTATAAAGAGAGTCGATTCGCCGGAATCTAATTACGACAGGACCCCGAAATTGTGTTTCCCTCTTTCAATACTCTCGAGAGTAACGGTGTGCTAAATTTGGACAGTATCTCGAAAGTTTTGAAATTTGCAATGATTTTCATTGAAGACCCTGTTTTGGGTCGACGTTCTTGTGTACAGGATATTCGACTACGCGTGCTAGATATTTTAATAAGTCCGTTGGTACTGAAATTTTATTCTCTCTTTCCTGGAACGGGGTGGGTACTCTTTTTCATCTTCCCCTTTGACGACCCAGTTTTCTTGTTAACTTGGGCCAGAAAAGTTTTCGACGATCAATGAGTGATAATAGCGGATGCACCATTAGAGGAGATTATCCTCGTTTCAAGCGTGACGGTGCAACAATGAAATTACGCAAATGGATTATGATTTCGTAGAGAATAATTGCTGGTTGTGGAATAACCACAGATAATATAATTAAATAATTGTACGTTCTGATTGTGTGATTGGAATATAGCTTCAAATATTTAACTAGAAAATTACTATCCACTGTGATGTTTAATTTGAGAGCGTTGCCGGTGCAGCGAATACTACATAGCATCTATAATTTTATGCGGTTTTTTAAAGACGCTGTGTAATATATTAAATAATTGGAGGCATTAAATTTCTTTATTGATTCTAATCAAGTTTAAAGCTTACAGAAGTAATATACAGCAGTTCTCGTTTAATAGACTCGAAGTTATCCCCACGTACAGTAGTCCCCGCTTAATAGACTCCAAGTTATCCCCGCATCTTCGAGGAACTGTTTAAACCTTTCGCTCTATTTCACTCTGGCTCGACGTTTCTCTCTCCCGTCGCCGATGCACTCAAGAAGCAAGCGAGCCAAGTGGAGATAACAGTCGGTAATTCCCAGAACACCCACCTCTTTGGATAACAGACACGATTCGGACCCGTGGTTGCATCTACTAAACGAGAACTACCGTGGCTACCCACCGAAAAATCTGAACGTCCCTTAAAAATTCAATTCACCGAGTTTTCAATACAGTAGATTCTCACGAAGAAGAATCGCATGAAACGAAATCTATTTATTTCGAAGAATAGACAATGAAATTATTACACCCGAAAGTACTTATTCAACGTACGTTTCCGTTCAATGTATACAACTTCGCGCCACCTAACCTTTATCTCCAAAGCTGTTGCGAAGTTGAATTTAGTAAAGGGAATTTCCAAACCGTCGGCATTCATTTTTTTTCTCCTCTCTTTCACATAAACAGGAAAACAAAATGGTTCTGTGTCGGCGCTGGAGAACAACTCGACTCTGCCGTACTCGCAAGAATCACGTCACGCGTCTTCTCTCGCTCTCCACGGCGCGGCCACACCACGGGCTGTTTCTCAGGAGGACGTATCACGGTGAGTTCTCCCGAAGCATTCTTTCTCCGTTTTACAGCGAAAGTAGCGAGTAGCTATTCCCTCCCGCGCTCTTTTGAAGTCTCCTTTCCACTCCGCGTTTTATTCCGGACGCGCTCGCGCGAATACGCCACCCCCGTCTTCCTCTGGGTCTTTCTCTGAACGCTGAACCCGCTGCTCCGAACGCTCGGAAAATAAGGAGCCAGAATATCACGTACGCTTCTTTTAAAACGAATCACCCGAATATCGCGCGATTCCGTGGCCCCCCTTTCACCTGTTATTTCCCTCCGCATTTTTTCCCCATTTTCTATCGTACGTACCCGATCTTGAACGGAATACGCGTCGCCGGCTGAGATTCCTGGTGAAAGAACGCGATAAAACGGCACGAACGCTCAAAGAACGTTGCGTGCGAGTCTCGCGCAACAAACCCTTCGAAGATGCAGATCTCGGACCAGCCGGTTCGATCTATGGGAGAATCTCTTGTGGAAATATTTATAGACTCGACTCGAAAATAGTCACTTTACAATAACTATGAGCAAATGTTAAAACGACTCGTTAGGACATTCTTATTTTGCTGTTGAAACCGCGAGGATGCTTTCGTGACGAATTAGAAAGCCGACCTGTACATCTCCACGAATGCAATATCCCGAGTCGCTTCGAATCTTGAGAAATATATTTCTCTATCTTTCTTAAGACACTGTAGAAAAATCATTCTGATTGCTGATGGTTCGAGCGTTTCTTTTCAAAAACACAAACGAAATGCATACCTTCTACTAATTCATTACAAGCAACATCAAATGGAATACGAAAACAGATAATAAAAACACCTGAAGACAAAGGCAACATTTTTGAACGAGACACACTTCAAAATCTGGCTCTACACGTAAAACAACAGTAAAATTTTTCAAAAATCCCAGCGACGTGGATTCCGCGGCTAGAGGGCTAATCGAGTGAGATTGTATTCAAAGAGAGTCAAGTGAAAAGGAGAAAATAGTACAAAATAATAGCTACCGTTAGAAAGTAATCCACATTTCCTTTGTGCCAACAACAACAACCAACAGAAGTTCCCAGAAAAAAAATATCCCGCAAAGGAACTGTTAGAACGTGAACCCGCGCGGAGTGTCTTTCCGCTATTGTCCGAGCCGCCGGACCGTGAACATCGTGCACGAGCTGCGGCCGCATTCCGTGCATAAACACACCCCAGCCGCCGGTGGTTAATTATACAGTCGCGGGAGGGACTGTTGAATTAGCCGGCGGTGAAGAGAGAGGGTCGCCTGGATAGAATCGGGTTGCTCGAGGAGGCTGGACAGAAACGCCGATTGTTTACGGGAGAGCCAGAGCTTTAGGAAGCGTCGCGAACGAGAAGGAGGCGAGCGGCGTTGCGCGGACTAATTGCCGATGGATTAAGAGCTTATCGAATTGGCCCTGCCTGCCAGAGACGGAATTGGTTCGGTCGCATTATGTGCCCCGCCGCTGACCTCTATGGTACACCGGGCCAGCACCGCCATCCCATTTTCGGATACAACAACGATTCCAGCCGGTTTACACGGGCTAAGGTCAGCGCAACGCCGCACGAATGTCGAGTCGGTCGTGCACTATCAAACTGTCCCCCGTCGACTGGGACACCCGCGGGACTTACGCTCGAGGAACAATCAATCCCGTTTCAGTGCTTCACAGTTGGAGCCTGTAATTCGACCGCGCCCGCGTGCTGTTTAACTTCGATATCGCGGAGGGCGTTTTCACAAGTGACAGTAGTCGTATACGTTATCTGTATTACGGCGGTACCAGCTCCGCGCTGTCCACGACTTCAATAAGCATTATCGTAAACCGTTACCTCGTCCATTGTATCGCGATCGTGGTTCCACGGGGAACCCGTAATCTGCGGGTGCGAATGTGCGGAGTTTAGCGCTCCCGAAACGGAGACCTTCGGTCGAAGATGTTTTACGTGGCTCGATCTTATGCTACGCGAGCAATATTCGTTGGGAATTATGGAATTTGATGTACTTCTAAACTTTCTGTAAGGAGTAAGTTTGAAAATTCTAAATCTAAGGCGGTCAATCTATACGTATGTATAGTGCAGTTCCGACGAGTTGGCGAACTAACCACAAGCTGAAAAATCGGAGAAACCGGGGACTCTTCCATTCGCGATGTTCGGGCTTTCTCAGTTTTCGACGCATGATCGTTATTGGTCGGCAGTAACGAAGGACAGAAGTTGAGTGCGACGAAGCGAGATGTAACGATACAGATCAAAGTTCATAGTACCGCCAACTTCGTTCTCTGCCCTTTGTTACTGTCGCGCTGTCAATAACGATCATGCATCGAAAACTGAGAAGACCCGAACATCGTGAATGGCAGAGTCCCTGCCTCTCTAACTTTTCAGCTCGTGGGTTGTCTGCCAGCTCGTCAGAGCTGCACTGTACATATGTCTCATTTATCTGTAGCCTTCTTAAATCTTCTTCATCGAAAGGTCGATCAAATTCCGTTGGAATAAGACGGAAAACTGAATTTCCCTGGGATCCCCGCTCGCTGACGGGATAATCGTGTTAGACGGGCTAAATATCGAGAGCATCTTCCTAGAAGCGAACGAGTGCGGATGCTCACCTCGCCCGCAGGTGCGCGGAACTTCCGCCGAGCCGCACTTAATGAAATATTCCATTCATGGCTATATTTAACGGCAACTACCCAAGTGCATTTCTCGGAGCAGTCAAAACTGCAATTAGTTCTTCCTTCCTTCCACTCTTTCTCCGGATAGGACGTGCTTCTCCCTCGTCCTTTCCCCCGTCCGCCCCCCTTGTCCCGTTCCAGGTTAAAGTTTCAAGCCTCGCGCCCCTCCACTCGCCGCTGTGCGGTCGAAGAATTGGATTTCGCCCGCGGGGATTTCGCGTGTTTCTAACTCGGGAGCGCCGGAAAAGGAGAAGCCGGAAGATAGAGTCTCCCGCACGCGCGCGCGCGCGCGCGGAAAACGGGGGATGCAACCGGGACGAGAAAAGAATAGAACGGTCGGTGGAGCGTGGTGGACGAGTTATTACTGCGCCCGGGCATCGGCGTAGATGTACGCAAAAAACTTTAATTTCTACCACCGTAAATTAGCCGGAACCATTATGCCGCAGCGGTAATTTATCCCCGGCCGCGAACGCTGTGGCGTTTAGCCTGACCGCACCGCTTGAACTTTAAGAGGAATTAAGATAATCATTTAGTGGACATCCGAGTAGAACTCATGCGCGGTTCTTTCTCCGAAATTGCGGATAGAATGTTCTTGAAGCGATAAAGAGTCGTTTGAATCTGAGCGAACCAAGAACGAATTAGTTAACCGGAGTCTCTGTAGCCAGAAATAGTCAGTTGAGCGGTTTAAACGCGTACCAATAAGAAGAGACTATTAATAGCTTCTGACAAGTCTAGGTTATGATATCTGGATGTCATTGAAGAAAGTGCACGTAGTTCATCTCGGTTAACTGCTACGCCCGTGGAGGCCCGGTAGCTTAGCACTTATGGGATTCTAGGCTTAGCCAAGTGGAAGAGCGAGGTCCAGTTGATGTGAACTTGGTCTAGGTTATTAGTCGAGTGTGACTCATTCTTCCTCTATCGGCAGACGATTGCAAAAAGGTCGATAAAACATAATTATCGAGAGGAAGTATTATTAGCTGGAATTACTCCTAACCTGACATTACAGTGAGATATACATTATCATTAGACCGACGATATGATGCATCGGCGCTAACTGCAGACACGCGAAATGCAAAGAAATCACAAGTCTCACGTGAACTAATAAAATTATCGTACACTATTGAATTACTGTATACCCGTAACAACGAAATAAATGCTCTCCCGAATATAATCTTCGCGGACCAATTAAACCGAATGAATATTTCTTGTAAATGCTCGCGTGTAATTTGATGCTATTCAAATGTTTCTTCGTCGGGAGCTGCGTCAGGATGGAGTGACTTGGCCCACTAACCCAACACGTATGCTGGAATAGAATTTTCGCAGTTGCAGGAAGAGTACATTCGACGTCAACTTGTTGAACTTCCATTCACGTTACACGTTCCGACTGTGTTCGCTCGAATTGCGTTATGCGGCGCGCACGAGAGATTCGTTCCGGCGTTACAAAACCGCGTATCAAATGTTTTTCTCGATATGCACGGGTTAATTTCACTGCGCCGGTGTCAATTACCGCTCGGCAGTCGGAATCAACGCAAGCCCGTGATTAAGCTCGCGCGCGACACGCTGGCAAATCCCCTCGATAAATAACACGCGTTTAATCATCGGGAATTATGGTTTTCTAATCCCTCGGTATCCGTGAAAGATCCGGCACGGTCGTGCTCGTTAAACGCGCTTCATAAATCCTGAACGCACCTGAGCACCCAAAATGCTCCTGCCTAAATACACCGGTACCGGTTGCTTTCTGAGCCTCCGCCATTTTTACGGTGATTTTCGAACGGCAACCGTTTTCATCCCGCGAAATTGTGCTTTTCGACCTTGCGTCGTACGGAGTGAAACACCGTTGGAACTTCGAATGAAAAACTGATATACGTATGATGATATGATTTGTATGATTGTTTGATTAAATTATATTTTCAAATGTAAGAGGAATTGCACAAGTTATCGTAATAATTGCACCATAAAACGACGGACATTCACAGTTGGAAGATTTAAAGGATTCTATAAACAGTATTTATTTGCTAACCCTTTCGCTACTATTGGCGCTTGAAGGTACTTTAACATTGAGACTATCAGATGAGTCAAAATGATCAATTTTGGGTCTCTTCTTTCGCAATTGTGGGAAAGGCACAGACGATTTTCTCAGAAATTATTCAAGAAATTGATTTAGATAAATACAAACTACAACATAAGGAAATTGAAGTCTCAATAAATGTATTTTTATAAGTTTTATAAGAAAATACAGAACAATCAATTTTACTGGTTCAATCGATTTTTTGCTCGAAACGAACTGAAAGCGTCTACAAGCGCTCGTAAAATGTTATTGACGATAATATAATAACTCT